TAAAAAAAACGCGCATGGCTGCAAACCCCCCCCCCCCCCCACAGGCCCCTCACACAACAACATTCAAATGAACGGCAAACGAACACTAAGCGATTGGGCAGTTTAAGCATGCACGGTGTTGTCGGAGGGGTCCGGGGGAAGCCGGCACGTTAAACAGTCTCGCGGACATCTGCCGCGTTTGGTTTCAAAGTGCTGGGTGAAAGTGGCAGGGGAGGTTTCTCCAGATTAAATCTCCCGTTAGGTTTTCTTTGTACAGGTGGCAGTAATGTGTCAAGAGCCCGGCCTGAGACAATGTCCTCCTCTCAGTGGGGCTAATGCGCCTCAGGAGAGAACCCAGCCTCCTTTTACTGCCGCCGCTTTACACAGAGACGCGCTCACAATGAAGCATCTGGTGGTCTTTTCCTGCGTAGAAAGCTGTTTTTTTTGTTTTTTTTAGTTGTTGTTTTTTGTCAAGGCCATTGTGCCGGAGTGCAGAGTGCGAGGTACAGAGATCAGGGGGCTTACTACATTTCTGTGGTTCAACTCGCCTGGTTTGGCTCACTGTGCCTTTTTAGTATGAATCTTTTTCTCCTAAATGTTTTATTTCAGAACATTTGCTGCCAGTTCGGGTGGGTGGGCAAAGGGGCGTGCTTGTGCATCTCCGATTGTGTGTGTGTGTGTGTGTGTGTGTGTGTGTGTGTGTGTGTGTGCCTGCGCAACCCCCCAGTAGTGAGAGGTCGCCGGGGTCAAAGTGATGAATTTTTATAGGCCTGTTCCCTGTGTTTCAGCCCTGTCCCTTTCTCTGCGCGCTGCACTGCCTCTCAAAGACAACCATGCAGGGCAATTTGTCCTGCGGGGCCCTGCAGAATGGGCCAGCAGAGAAGTTAAATACCAGGGGGGAACACACACACACTCACACAAAACATACACATACATTCAGTTTCCCTCTCTCTCTCTCTCTCTCACACACCCCTCCGTCCTGTTGTCCTGAATGATTTGTGGCCTGTCCATTATCCATTCCGGGGGGACAAATGCCGCTTTCTGAAGGTAAAAGCCAGAATGGCGGCCCCTCAATGCTCGCCATTGTTTTTGGAGAAGTTTCCCAGATGTTCTGATAGGAGCACATTGTAGCTACCTTGCACGCCCATCTTACCTTTGCGCGGGGGCGAGAGCGTGGCCACCAGACCCCCTACGACGCGCACGGCCCGCCACCGTCAAAAGCCCATCGGCACCGAGTTCATGGGAAGGGGCGAGGGGGTTTGTGTGCGGGTTGCTTGCCGTTTTTTTTACATTTTTTAGGGGCGACACAGGCCGGGTTTACCGGGGTCAACTGTTGACCTGCGGGTCACACACAGGCTAACTTTACCGAGCGATAATGCGTCCACTCCCACCTCGTCCGCCGCGTTGAGCGAGCGAGTGAGAGAGTGGGGCAGTGATGAATCCGCGCTGTTTGGAGGCTTTAAATTAGCCGGCCGCGGCGAGAGGGGAGTGGATAACTCTGGCTTGAGTCCAGTCAGATCGGGCGGGGAGGGTCACGCGTGATTTACCGCCACCCCCGGGTAATGGCTGGCAGGGAGGGCAGGCGGCCGAGTTTGTTGTCGCCTTCTTTCAATCGCCCCCATCCGTACTACCGATCAGACATCGGGGGGTTGATGTACGATTGGCGAACGGGAGGGAAGCGATCAGGGCGGCGAGCAATCTGCGCTGAACCTGCCAACCCCGCGCTGGCACACGGCAGCTCGGCTGGCAGTGTGGCAGCGGGGAAAATAATGGCGCGATCTGACAATGCCGCTGCCCCCGCCGACACAAAGGGGCGCCCCTGTCTCCTGCCTCTGGTAATGGAGAATGAATAGTTAGCTCACTGTCCTTTCTCTCTCTCTCTGTGCACACAGGCTCACACTCTCCACCTAATTGGGGTTTAATCGCTGAGTGCTAAATGCACTCATTGGATTATTATATTGGTGCAATGACAGTTCAGTGTGAATCATTGCATTGGATTTGGGGGGGGGGACTATAAACACAAGAGGAGTTGTCTATTGGCACCATGATGTGTCAAATATTTTTTCACACTTGAGGTTTGGGGTCATTAGGTGAATCCTTATGCCATGTTTGTGTACAGTTGGACAGTAAGTCAAACATGATGTCAAATGTGCCTGGAGTTACACTTTATAGATAATTTGCAATAAATTATCCACGAGAATTAAATATTTTATGATACTGTGGGAAAAAAGACTCATTTTAACGCGTCTGTATCTCAAATCAGATGTTTTTTCTTCCGTGCCATCGAGCTGTGTCCTAAAACACCTGAATGAGTCTCACTGTTGGAAGTGTTTCACTGCTTTTAATATCTGAAATGTTTTGTCTCCGCGTCAATCTGATGTTCTTCCCTTAATCTGCCGACACGTAAACCGCCCCCGTTGGTGCGATGGGCTTTGTGACGGCGGCCTCGGCGTTGCGCGTGGGTTTCTCTGTGTTTTAAAGTCGGGCGCAGTGGATCCGCTCCATCTGTCGGCAGGCCCAGAGACAGAAGGCCTGAATGTGTGTGTGTCTTTGCTCTTTGAAGTGGGACAGATTGCTTTAACCTCTCCTCTAAGGCGAGCAGCTGGAATAGAGAGCTCCTTTTAAACAGCCGCTTCCTCCTTCGACAGTCATGAGATTATCCTCCATTGATGCACAAAGGCCTCGCCTTCCTCGGCAACCTCTCATCCCCCCCCCACACACACACAGTCACTGTGCCGGCCCCTGCCCCTCCACAAACACTCAGTGTTGACCTGTGACCCATAATGCAGAGATGTTATGCCAAGCCACTTCGCAGGATCAGTTGAAGGAGCCCAGAGGAGTGAAGACATCCTCGCTGTCCCCTGGACCACAGCTGCATCTCCTGGCTGCACTTTCCCATCGATCGCTTGCACTAAACACTAATTGTCATTGAATAAGGAGCCGATTGCGGCCAAATGAATCATGATAATATCTCTCAGGGTGGTCAGTGAGAGCACGTCTGTGTAATGTGCTTGGGGAGGCGGGAAAATGAAACCGGCACAAGCGTCTGCGCCGCGCTCGGCCCGCGAGGAGGAGACGCGTTGGCATCGATGCCGTCACAAGTGACGCCACGGGCTTTTAATTACTATCCCCCATCTTGGTGTGCAGATCTCATGACCGTGTGGGGTCGTGTGTGTGTGTGTGTGTGTGTGTGTGTGTGGGGTTCACAAAGGACGACAGTATGGTAGCTGTGATCAATCGGGTGCAATCAGCCACCGCCGACTGCACTGATCGCTCAGTCAATGCGCGGATGAATGGATCAATCAGCGTCGGCGCCGGTCGCCATGCAACAGGACATCCTTAAGCTCCGGCCGCACTACTGCCGATGTGCTGAAATTTATTTTTTCTTGTTCTCGTCGAATATGAATGTAAAACACGTCTTGAGTAAATCAAGTGGCTTCAGCGTCTTTGTCGCTCCTGCGACGGGCCCAAAAGAATCTGTGGTTGGAATCATTAGCCGTCCCTGGAATCCAGATTGTAATTGTTCTGGGAAAAGACACTTTGCCCCCCAAGAAAAGGCAGCATTAGCTAATAGTGCTCTTCTTTTCTCTTTTTTGTCTAATTGAGTCTTCCTTGCAGCGACACTCTTGGCACAAGTTGCCAACATGAATACCGAGTCTGTGGTTCCATTATCTCCGTGGGAATGATGTCATCTCCCTTACATCCCGGTAGAAACCTCCGTATGTATCCATGCCCAGGATCTATTTATGACGACCGTGTTTCTGTCCGGCTGAACGGAGGGTCTGTTTTCGTCCTTATGATCGGGATGCTTGTTGTGCCAGTAGGCGACGCAGCCAGTGGTCGCGGAGTTCTGCTTGACTGACTTCTGGATTTGCAAAGCGGGCCGCAGGAGGGCGGCTCGCTTGGAAGAATAACAGGACCAACGACGATCGCGAAATCTAAAAACTAAAGAGATAAATAATGAAGATTTTCAAAACTTACATCCTTCACTTCACAGTCCGGAACGTTTGTAGTTTTTTTTTTTGTTATAAAGAAATTTGAATCAAAATGAATTAAATGTCTAAAAACCAATAAAAAGATACACCACACAAAATTCGGAGCAGTTGGTGCTAATCAGAGATGACAAAAACTGTCTGCAATTGTCTTTGCCGGTTGGCCACAATGACTTCTTGACAGTGAAAGTATCTCCTGCCCTTCTCACCAGCTCCCTCTTTGGCCTATTCATCGCACAAAGCTGCTTAAGCGCACTTAAGCGCATTAGCATTTGGCTGCCAGGGGACCATATTGACCCTGCATTTGGATGGCCTAAATGAGTGAAAGATGGAGCGATTTGTTAGGGCTTTAGAAAGTTGCTCTTGGGGGGGGGTTGGCGGTGAGGGGAGGTGGGGGAGCTGCAGGGAGTTGTTCCACTTTCTCTCAGGCCCCGGTGTTTGTTCTAATCTGGCGTGCCGTTTCTTCTCGGTGGCCGAAGCCCGGCTGATTTGTGACATTTCGGTCTAAAGGGCCCTTCTTCGCTGCCCCGCTATATTGGCTTGACCCGTTTATCTAATCTGTGCTTTGAATTTCAATCAGGTCACCCGATCTCCGCCGTGTGGTATGGGAACCGCTGGCTGAGGGATTACCTCATTCAACGGTCTTCAAACACAGATGGTCGAATGTTTAACTAATTGTTAAAAGAGTCCACAAAGGGGAATTTAACCATGCACACAGTCCATGTGGTCAGTACATAGAGGCGGATCAAGAGGAGTGACAGTGAGGCAGTAGATGTTTCTTTAAAAGTCGTTGAATAGGGTGCATTGTAGTGCGCTGTGTCGGGCTGCCGGAGCTGCTACTGTACAACGTGTGAACATGTGACCGGTGACAAAGTACAATAAATGCAATTACACAAGTGGTCCTCCGTCCTAACAATCGGTTTTTGTTATGAGCCGTTGTTTATTCTTTAACAGGATTTTCCCATTACCCCCCCAGGGTTATTCTCTGTGTCTGAGGCCTCACCCTCTCTCCTCTTCTCTCTCCCGCAGAGTCTTTGCTCCACTGCCACCATGCAGACGGTCAGAGCCGCCGACACCAACGAAGTCGACAAGCTAATATTCCGAGAAAGTGACAATGACCGGAAGGTGAGCTGCAAGTCATCAAAGGAGAAAGCCATCTTAATTTAGATCCCACTATGTTATTCCCACGGCTTAGAAAAGGCCCCAATTCATTCATTTGTCCACAACTAATATATGATTGATTTTCACATACATACAACACTTCAGTTTTGGGGATTTAACAGAAATGTGTTGATGGTCATTCATATGTTTAGACTGTTGTAGGAACTTTGTGTATGTATTTAAAAAGTAGACTTCCCATTTAAGGCTGCCTGTGACTTCTAATAACAACATTTATAACTGCATTCAAACCATATTGTCTTCCGTCACATTACGTTATGAGATATTTGCCCCATCACATTTCGTTCCCTTATTTAACAGCGCAGCGCTACACAAACGATTGCCCGCTGCGTATTGGTCAGTGATTCTGGTATTTCCAGCGAACTGTACGGATTTGGCTGCAAAATTTCCTGGCGTGTCGAAGCCCTGATGGAAATACAACGAGGCATCTATGCATCTCGTTTTCCCTGTTCGACACACCTCATAGACCCCATCCTGAGTTATTGCAGGTTGTGTTGACATTCGTTGCAAAGCGGAGTGACTCCTCAGTGAGACACACGTGTAGAACTACCATTGCTGTCCGCCACTGCAGCACACTGCTGGTCATTAGCGCTCTAATTACTAAGTGCAGTTCACATTAGCATTGATATTAATCAGAGCGCTGTTTCTCTCTCGCCGACGATTCAGGTCGTTCTTCAACTTGAAAAGAAGCTTTTTAATTACGTCAACCAGGACGTTTTCCGGGAAAACAATGGGACCTCGGTAAGTCACCCCCTTCGCTTCCTGACCCTTTATATATCAATCTGTTCTCCCATTTCTTCACTTTCACTTGTTTTTTTTTACACATTTCAATTCACTTCATCAGCTGTACAGACGTTGTTTTTCCGATGTAAACTGACCGCAGCTACCATTCACTACACTGATTATCTTAAAGAGGTACAGAACACAAGGAAGGAAAGCCAAAAGTTTAACTACATCATTTGATTTTTAGTTTTTTTTTATATTTCGATAGCCGGTAGAGAAAGAACAGCGTAGAGGTAGGTACGCTGCTTTGGCAACAGACACACACACACACTGGCTCTGTATCCCTGTGGGGCTGAATGTCTTTGGAATCACTTTTATATGAGATCTGAGTGTAAATGAGGTGAGTGTTAAATGTCTGCTGTGAGAAACATACTGGTACACATTTCTGCTTTTATAAGGCTGTATATTGCATTAGGAGGTTCAAGGTCGGACCTCGTTAAAACCCCCACTAAGAACGCACGTATTTATGTTGTTGGCGTTAGCAGTCAAATTTAGATTCCAAGGAAATTGCGTATTAGACCTCCTTTTTTTGAAAATAACACGTTTGCTTCGGCTGCTCATGTTTGCATGCGGCTGACTTGGTCAATGAGTATCTTCCTCTGCGAGGGCCTCCACCTGACTGATGCTCATTCCCAGCAGCGCTCCGCTCTGGGCTTCTGTTCCGAATGCAGCTCCTGTAGTCAAGGAAACAAAATTTACTCCACTATTTCCCCCCCTTTTCATTTTCTTGGAATCGACATTTCCCACCTTTTTATATAGATGGTGAAAGTAGCAGATTGAAGCGATCGTTTCCTCGGTGCTGCTGTGGTGAACGTGACCGGCGAGTTTGCAGTCTAGTCTCTGCATGTGGCTGCAGATGCAGAGCCTCCCTGTTTGAATGGTTCCTCCTGGAGATGTCGGTATTTCAACTAAAACAGCAGGAAGGACACCAGTAACCGTCAGCTACTTCAGCAAAGATGAAATTCAAAAGACTGGCGTGACGCTGCCAGGTTTAGATCATTGAATCTGATCAGCAGAAATGTGCAGGAAGTGTAGCTCTAAGAGGCTGAGCCCCCCCCCCCCCCCCCCGACTTCCTCCTCACCAAGCCTGACAAGATGGATGACATAATGGGGGCGTCAGAGATAATCTGATGGTCATAGTTAAACACACCATGTTATGATCCTCATAAAACAAACTACCTTTCCAAAAGGATAAATGTCCCTCCTCACACTCCTCCACTGGGCAGGAGAGGGGGGGGAAAAATCCATTGCATCCTTCATCAACTGCAAGACTTGTACCGGCTTGACAGGAATTTAATTCGAGGCAGCTCTTGAAAATAATTATTGTATTTTGAGAGGAGTAATCATTGGCTGGGACATGATTGAATGTGTCCATGCCTATTGACTTTTGCTATGATTAATAGGTTTGTTTAGTCGATATTCCCATCGAAATTGTATAATTAATTATCCCCGGCGCTGTCAGGGCGGGACGATGGAGAGCCCTGATGAGTATTTGGGAAGATTACATTTTCCAGCCGCTGGTGGCGTCGGGGGGCACCGCGGGGGCCTCGTTCCCGCGGAGAGATGGAAGGAGCGCGTTGGTGTGTTTGCGCGTGTGAGCGCGGCGCGTTCTGTGCCGCACTTGTGTGGATCCGCAGCGTTTTGCCCCCCCGAAGCGCGCACACACACAGACACCCGGCGGGGCCTTCCCCCATCCTCGGCCCCCATTGATTTTGTTTCAGTATCTCTTTATTGTGACTTTATCAGTGTGGTGTCGGCAGATGGAGGAGAGGGAGGGTGCGTTTGTGTACTGCCTGCAGCAAGTGATGAACCTTTCCTGTCCGGCCTGCCTCTCCTTGTCATGCTGGCGGCGTAGCAGCCCTCAGCATTACTTAAAAGCCCCGGAGGCGACGTAGAAGAATGAAGAACAAATGCCGCTGCAGCATTTCTGTTTCCCCGTCAAACCTCGTGCCGAATGAGACGGGAGCCTAATAGGATTTATATAAAGCAATGCTGTGTAACGTCCCTCGGTTGTCTCTTCCTCTCTTGTAGCCCGCCTCTCTTTGGCACGGGTCAGGAAGCGCTGTCCGCTCCCGTAGGCCTCTGAGGACAGATAGTAGCACCAGGCGAGGGGCACAGGTCAAACGAAGTTTGAATATCCTATAAACAATTTGATTTTGCTGCTAAATATATGTTATTCTCACCCATTCTCTATTTGAATGAAATTTTTACAGGCATGACATAGTTGTGCCAACAAAGCCTGGTGAGGTGCAGTGTACTGCAGTGGGGGGGTTGTTGTGTTTGGGTTGGTCCCAACACCAATCAGCCCCCCCCCCCACACACACACACACACACACACACACACCACTACCAGTGACAGTTTATCGCTTTTACTCACAAAATAATGAAGATCCCATAAAAAGAAGGAAAAATATGGCCCCCTGCAATGAAAGCCAAGTGTGCGGTGTAAAAATCAAATTAAATGACCTTTCACCCCAACATTTATTGATGGGCTTTAATGGCAGCAGGTGTTGTCACGGGGGATATTTGACGTCGCGTAAATCAAAGCACAATTACAGGTGGTGGAAAAACCGCCATCCCAGTTAGAGGAACGGTCGTATTACGTTTATTTATTTATTTATCTCTTTACCCCCATCAACGACCTGCTGCTTAGCTATCACTGCCACTCTGATTTAAGAGCTCGCCAGTGGTCAGAAATTTGAGCCCATGACAGGGTAGTTTTTATCCAGACACTTCTTCATCCTTCCCCCCCCAGTGAGAATGCCGGGGCTGCATCAGCTCGCGCCACCTCCTCCTCAACGGCCAACGCCCAAGGTCGTCCCTGCTTGACAAACTACTCCTGGCGTTATAATGTCACAAGGCCCTGAACCAACACGGTTTTTGTTGTTTGTTTTTTAACCACTGATCTGGCAAAGCAACAGAGAATTGTGCTAAATGGACCCGAGATGAAATGTGGTGGGAATTTTGCTGCAGGTTTTTTTTTTTCTTTCATTCACTGAAGGCAGATTCTCCGTAGATGCACACAGTTAAAACTGTCCCACTCGTGCAACCTGAGCTGCTTCACCTCAGCATGAATCATCTGTGTTCCCTTCAGAAAAGGTCAATTATTGATTTGGGCCTTCAGCATTATACCAGTATGAGCCTGTTGACTCTGCCCATCATAGGCTGTTTATCAAGTGTGGTCACAGTGACGTCCCCCATTGGTTTGAAGACTACTGTTCTGAAAGCTAAAGTTTGGCATTTTTGCTGTTGGCGTCTTAGCTTTTTTTAACCAGAAGGGATACGAGAGGGCAGTGCGGACATTAGCATACACCTAGCCGGATCACAGTTCAACTCAGCCCGAGACAGCGTTTTCAAACAACGCATGAGGCTTAACATTCAGAAGCTGTCTTTTTAGACAAACTAAATCAACAGTCACTGGCTAAAACTGAGACGCCGCCGTTGGTTTTCCTCTGTCTGAAATCAACAATCCGTTGTTTCAAAAGTGACATAGAAGTGTTAAATCCTCCACATTATTCTATTATTAGCCTCAGTCAGGCTGCGACAGACACGCACGCACAAGCCGACAAACGCTCGGCGGAGAAAGCGGGTGTCAGCGGGTGGATGGCGAGATGGGGGTGTACAGTGGAGCGTGGGGTTGCATCCCCCTGCTCAGTCATCCCTCATCCACAGTGTGCGAGTCTCTCCTGTGACCCCGGCAGTGTGAGTTTGATGAATGCAGCACATCTGCCCTCCTGAACCTCCGAGACTCCGTCTGGGAGGCCCCTCTGCCTGCAAGTAATGGCCACTGTTCTACACCACTGACACGTAAACACACACACACACACACACATGCCGGACTCTGGCTTATTTTGTTTTTGTGTGCATGTGCACTCAACGGCGCTGCAAAGACAAACAATCCACGCGCACGGCGTAAATGTGTCAGCGCAGATGGAAGACCGCAGTTACCTTCTGCTGATATAACACCCGTCCTCCAGGAGCCTCCACTTTGTGAGGACGTCCTTCCGAGTAATACCGCTGTGCACCGCCTCACCCCCTGCGCGGTACTTCATCATGTAGCCATCAACACTTTGTTGCGTGTAATACACCGATGTAATGTCATTAACGTCGGGCTGCCTGTGCAGCCGCTGTCAAGGCTCTCGTCGAGCGTCTTCTTCGGCCTGTAATTGTAGCCGGGGTGTTTGAAACGTGTACAATGGCCCAATTTACCACAGAACAAACGTGTCCCGGCTTCATCTCTGTGTCTTCCTGTCTGAAGTGTGTGCGAGGGAAGGGAGAGGGGGGCCTTGATGACGCGGGGTCCGCCCGGGGTAGCTGGGAAACGTAGCCGTCAAGTCTCTCCGTGAGGCAGCCATGCAGGTGCCCGTGACTACCTGTTCATCTCGCAGATAATTAATGTGTACAAGGAGCCGCTAATTGCACTTTTCACTAATGATTTATGGGCTTTGTGAGAGGGGGGAAGTCGAGGGACGTGCGTGTGTACACTCTGGTGAGTGAGTACAGCTGGGTGAGGAGACATGATTGATGAAGAGTGTGGAGAGATGGAGCCCGCTCCCTCCCCGGCGGGACAGGGCGAGTGATACAACACACACACACATAACTGGTCAACTTCTGTCAATTTTAGCCGGTGTGGGGAACACCGAGATAACTATACGATAGTGTATTCTCATCCAGCCCCCCACTGACGCTGAGGCCTGATGATGGACTTCTGCAGACTTCTTGGTCCAGTTCATATCAAATCGGAAGAGGCCTCAAATCATCCCTGAATTGTCTTAGCATGTGTGTGTCTGCTGGGGAAAACCTGCTCAACTTTCAGCCCACAAATAATCAGTTTGTACCCCAAATAAAGGTTATATTGGTCGGACCTGCTCAGTTGTGTGAGCTCTGAATTGAAAGGAGGGCTTTGCTAACAAAGAGCATTCAGGCTCTTTGGACTATCCCCTTGATCAGAAATGTTTTCCAAAAATGTAAACTTTTTTTATTTTCTCCACAGCTTTTAGAGTACGACAAAGAGCTGTCGGTGTTCAAAGATCGGCTGCATGAACTGGAGATCTCCTTCCCACCCAGGTACGGAGACATCTTATATCATACTAACGCCTACATCATTCCTTTGGCCTCTGATTTCTGCCACTGGCCGCTCTTCCGGGCATTGATATCAAGTCCCTACGGGGGTTTTAGCCACTCTAGCAGCATCTAACACGACCAGGAATGCAAATCTCATGGGTCCCAGAGGATGAACCCTACAAATCCCATAACGTTTTTTTTTTTACATATTCATGACATTTTATTCTTGGCGATATCTCGAACAAGCTGTGTGGTTTTCTCCACAATGAGCAAATGTGCTCCTTTAATGGCTCTTTAAGTACAATTTGAATTTGTTGAAGTGCAACAACTGTGCAGGCGTCTCCAAGTGCACCTGCTGTTTTGGTTAAGCTTTGTGCAGAAGCACAATGAGTCTGTGTGAAGAATAGAGATCAGAGGGTTAAGTGAGAGATGCCCGAAGACACATTTGTACATTTGTACAGTTTATATATATATATTAGACATACTACACATTTTTTTATTTATTTGACCTTTATTTAACCAGGTAAAATCTATTGAGAACCAATTCTCATTTACAAGGATGGCCTGGCCATCCATAAAAAGGCATAATGCATAATGAGTTTTTGTATGGTTCATTAAGCCTAAAACTATTAAACTAGTAAAAAGACTTAATCTGTCAAAATCACCAAACTCAGAGATGAGTAAATGTTGACGCAGTGATGTTAATAGTTAGTCACCCTTTTATTCTCCACTGTGGTTTTATAAAAGCTGCTGGACCCGTGTTGGATCAGTTGTTAAGTATGATTAGAAATGCTGCTCCCATGTGTATGTCTTTTCATGTACGTGTGTGTCGCTGCGCGTTGTGCGACATTGATATTCCGTCTCGGTGGGACTTGGGGGAGTCTGGAGCGAGGGTGGTCTCCTCTTCCTCAAACAAATGCATTTGCAATTAGCCCTTTTCAGAAGAGAGGGAGGGCAAACACCCGGCCGGCGTGGAAATATGTTTCGGGAGCGGCGCGTTAATGGCGCTTGACCTTTGCCGCCGGTTGTGACTCAATCAGTGCAGATAATGAAACGCTGTAATCAAACAATAATTACTTGATAAACTGCTCAAGTGGCAGGCGGGGGGGTGGCAGGGGATTTTAATGTGTGAATGAGAAAGTGAGATACATAGAGCTATCTGAGGGTGTGTGTGTGTGTGTGTGTGTGTGTGTGAGGCTTTTAGTTAGTGCTTTTGTGTGTGTGTGTGAGAGAAAGAGAGAGTGCATGTGTCAAGGTTCTGCCAGTCGCTGTTTTTTAAATGACTCTGTGTCTTAATCAGGGACCCCATTTACATCACTTTGCATAAGTGACAGGTGGATTTATTGTCCTTTCACACCGGCTGACTTTTGCACCTATCCATATAATACTGAATCATCCCTCCGCGGGGAGGAATGAATGCGCCGCCGCCAAAGAATACAAATGATTTTCACACACTTGAGGTGATGATGAATCAAACACATGAAAGCCCCGGGAGCAGCATATGAAATTTGATTTGATCAACTCTGTGTGCGCGCGACAAGCCACATCATTGTCAGGCTTGTAATGGGTAGCAGTGGCCTAGTTAAACTTAAACAACCCCCCTCCTCCCACTTCATGCATACACACACACACACACACACACACACACATCCTAGTACCCCTCCCCCTGTCAGGTCTGCCTTGTGCTCCTTGAGCAATCAAGCCTCAACGATTGTTCTCCATCCCATAGCCTGCTCTGGACCGTCCCCTCGCCATCTGTGAGGTTATTGCTCTTTTTTTTCATCCATGCCGACCTTAACGCACTGAGACACACACACACTCTCATGCACGCACACGGCTCACTTTTGTTGAAATCTATAAATCAATACTAGTCGCCAACATTTTATCTGCGAGTTAATTCCGTCCCAGCGGCGGACGAGAAGTTGTCTCTAGCTTTCTATTTTTATTTTCTGCATCCCCACAGCTGAGGCATCGCTTTGCAGCAGCTCGCTCTCTTTTTAACACACAAATTCTTCCCCCTGCGCCGCTGCGAGCCGTAAAGTGCATATCGCTCCACTTTTTAAAAATCCGTCTGTCAAAGTTGGCCTTGACAAGTCTTAAGTACTTGAGCACCGGGGTGAGGAATTTACCCGGGCCTTGTCACAGTTGGACCTGGAGCCAGGCGGCTGCGCGGGACGCCTCGTGCACACTCGTGCAGGTTAGGAGAGGAAAGATGAGCCCAATAGTTAGGAGAAATAAATATACAATCATTTTTCTGAGTTTTAAGCCACGGGACGGCAACCAGCCATCTGGTCACCAGCGCTTGGCTGCCTGCTGCACGCCCGTCCTACTGAAAATGATGGCAAGTTTTATTATTCATTATGGTACTTTTGATTTCATATTTGAAATGGCATAACTAAGGTAATATCCCCTAAAATATACTAAGGCACCATTAACTTATTCATGTATTTTGATTGATTTAAGGCAAAGCTTTTAGTACTCCTCTGATCTCATTTCTTTGCCCTTTTTCTTGCCTGAGATCGATGCAAAAATTGAATCGGGGCCCCCGACTTCGAAGGAAATGCAGTGGACAATGAGGGAGCAGTGGAAGAATGTATTCTGCCTGTAACCTGGTTACTGGGAATGGGCTTTGAGGGAGATTTTGAGTGACATCAGAGCAGCGGTACAACTCCATGGATGAGCAAATCACGAGTGATTCCAGAGCGGGGAGTTGGTGTGGAGCGTTGTGAGACGTTCGTGAGAGGAAAGATGGGAAAAGTCCGGTGCAGAGAAGACGTCCCACTTGTGGGTCTGCTTGGAAAAGGGGAACGCAAGGAACAAGGCACAAACACATAGAGTACGCAACATGTGGGTACTGGCGAGGTACAGCATGAGAAGAATCACACCGTCGGATTTAAATTCAGTTATTTCCGTAAACACACGCCCCGATCCCCCCAGTAACAAAGAGGAAAATGACCAAAACCGCAAAACACCACCACAGGAAACTGAAGAAAACCAGTTTGAAGCTCTGCAGCTGCATTTTTAGCTGAATGCTAATGTCGACATGCTAACACGCTCGCAATGTCAATGCTATCATGCTGATATTTAGCAGGAGTGTTTACCACGATCACCGGCATGTTAGAATGCTGTCAGATTCTGCACTTAGCTTAACTTGATGTGGCACGAGACGAAATGTCACATCACACGAGGTAGAGGGATTTATCCTCTGAGGAGCATGAATGTCATCGTCATCCATCCAATAGTGGTTGAAATACGTGAAGCCAAACCAAGGCGGCGGACCTAAATAGTAATAGTTCAGACGAAGGATTATTAATAATCTGCCACTTTAATAATTTGAGCAGGAAAAGAGGACTGACCTGAGGATTTATATAAACATTTAGCCGCCAACCACCTAAAAAGATCAGCCGAACATCTCTTAAGTTCATTTGGAGAGAACCAATGGAAGGTGCTAAAGGCAGCGGGTCTCTAGCGCCTTGTAACTGTGTTTGTCAAGTCTAGACTGCAGGCAGATCCTGGTCCCAGGGGTCAGGAGGTGAGGCCATCGAGGTGGTAGAAGCACATAAACACCTTTGTCTGTTTGGGAAGCACCCTGCGACCAACATTGACACGTTAGCGTACATTTCCCAACGTTGACACGTTAGCGTACATTTCCCAGCATTGACACGTTGGCGTACATTTCCCAAAAAGCCGCCCCGAAGGGAAAAGGTCCGAAAACCTAAACGTCCCGCCCGCTGTAAGAAAGGCTCCAACATTGACAGGTTCAGAATGACCCTTCAGCCCAAAGAGAAGCTCTGGTCAAGTGACACAGAGTGGCTCCCGGCCAGCTCCTCAATGACCGCTGATGAGTACATGCGAGACAGCCGGTGGAGAAATTCCTCGAGCTCATAGGAAGCGCTCACGCAGACGGCTCCGCCCGCACACAGGGCCGCTCTCTGTTCGGGCGAACAACGCTCTTCACACCACACGCCTGGCCTCTGAGGGCCCTGCACCGATGATGTCACCCCCGTGCATTTGTGTGTTCGGCCGCGTATACGTTAGTCCTATAGCCCCGCTGTTTGCATCCCGCATGAACGGGCCGCTTGTTCTCGGGGGGGGCCCCGCGTGGCTCCGTTGAAGGAGCGGCGAGCGGGCGGGCTCAAACGACGCCGATTGGTCGGAGGGGGGGGGGGGGCATTGTTTCACAGCCCCATCGGCGCACCCGTCACTGTAACGGCGAGGGAGCCCGTGAAAATGATGAGGGGCCATTGTTGGCGGTGGTGGCCAAAGAAGCTCCGCTGTCGTGTGTCGTGTGTCGTCGCCTCTCGTCTTGGCACTGAAGAGGGAGGCTTTGTCAAGAGAGCAGCCTCACGCCGGGGTGGGGTGGGGGGGGTGGAGGACGCAACGTACGCCATCTGCGTCGCCCTGGATCCTGGTCAGGGGGCCGCTGAAAGGGCGGAGCGCGCCGTAGCTGAACCCCAGCAGGCCGACCGCCACGAGGCGCCGGTGGCATTTTGCTGTGTTTGTACTGCGTTGGGCCAATGTTGTGCCTGCGAGCCCCCCAGCTCCACAAACCGAGGCAAACATTCAGCTTTATTGATAGCATTCGGCTGATCTTTTTGAATCCGTGCATGCGTGTGTGTTGTGTTTTGCCAAGCCTCCCCTGACAACGGCCAAACAAACATAGCTGTGGGGTGTGGGGGGGAGTCACTCGAAACGCTCGCCGTTTCTAGCTTTTCAGCCGCTCGGATTATCCCGTGATGCTCTACGCCACCCGTGAACTGAAGCCACTGTTGTGACTTATCTTTGGCTTCCTGCCCTTCCCATTTCCCCGAGTTTATATTGCCCTCATTAAATACCGAGCGCCAGAACAGCCCACTGTTTGGCCCGTCACTTATCTGCCATTATGCGCAACCAGGTAATAGCTTTTGATGGCACGATAACAGAATCTCAGACAAGGAAGTCTGGCGAGGGCAGAGTGTCTTACTCGGATAAAGGCAGTGCAGCTGCAGCAGCAGCAGCTGGTGCGGCGCAGCAATGCGGGTGTCGCGACAGCCTCTCCCTCCACCGGGCGAGGCCATGTGACACACCGCAGGAAGGGCCGCCGCTCACCTCCGACGTGTTCTCTTTTTTCGCTTTTACAAGACAAACAAGCTGACAGCGGCCCGGAACGCGGTGTGAGTAATGTGTCAGCGGCCAGGTCAAACATTAAACCCCAAACCAAGCATGAATGAATGAGCTCCCAATAGGTGCCAGAGGGTCCAGACGTGCGAGCGCAAACACGCACGCACACACATCATCATCATCATCATCATCATCTCGGATGTGGTCGGCAAAACACAAAAGAGCGGAGGGACAGCGAGGGGAGGGGGTTGATTTACGTTAACTTTACACAAGAGGTGATCGCTGTGATAGAACCTGTAAATGCCAAGACAAATATTCCACCAGCAGCGTGTGTGATTATCCGACACTGATGATGGTCTCGGGCTGCTCTCGTGGAAGTTTATTATTTGCTGTAAATAAGTAAAGGAGGACGTTTTAAACTTCACAATATAAAAACTTATTTCACTTAAGTTCTTTTCACAGTTTAGAGCATCCCTGAATTTCTTTTGTTGATTTGCATAGTCAGGGAATAATGTTAACGCCTTCCTCAGAAATGAAGGCGTTATATAGGCTGTGTTCCACTTCCCATGATGAACAGTCTGCTGGTGAAATCCCACTTATTGCTCACTCTGTAGGCATTGACGGTGTACCATCTAGTATGCATTATTGCAGCCCACGCCTCCGTCTACCTGCTGTTCACAGGAGGGCACCGTCATTTTACAATTGGAACACATTACGCTATCTGAATGAGCTCATAGTTGCAGCTTGGACTTTGGTTAACTGCTGCGTCTCACGACCTTCGTTTTATGTGAAAGACGCATGCTGGTGTCCTGAACCTCCGCGATGTGACACGTATTCTGCGTGTGATTCCTGGAAGGGATCTCAGACTATATAACCTGTTTACATGGGCTCACATATACGTGTGTGGATACTTTTTAGTGCAGCTCCCCTTCCCCACGGCTACGTAATTATTGGGAGTTATCAGCTCGGCCCATTGATTAGTGTAATTAGTCTCACGGGCAATAAGGGCCCGATATGAGCTGACGGCCTCCGGCCCACACGCCCTCTCGGGCCGTTTACCTTTCGCCGATAAGTTTGTGAGCTCGCTAATCGGACACATTAATCACTTTGTCCCCAGCGCGCCATTCCAGTGTTTGCCGTCGCATTAAGACCTGTTATCTCCGTCGGAGCCAGCGGAGGGTGCAGTGAAAGCAGAAATCAGGGGGGGGGACCTGTTACACATGCACTCGCTAGGACGCAGAATGGCCCTTTAATGGCCACCGTTGAGGATTTTTAATCAGCTTTTTCAATGGCGGGCTGTCATCAAAAAAATGATTGTAAAGTTTTGTGGTTGGGGAAGGACAGATGGGGGTGGGGGGGTCTTGGGGGTTGTTATCTGGCCTTTTGAGTTCATTGTTTGAAGGAGGTGAGAGGGGGAGAACTTGATTTTCTCTCAATCTCTTTAACACCAAAGTGACCCCGGGCTTGTTAGTCAATAAAGCCGTAACGGAGTTCCCGATAGGAGGATTGTTCGGCCCGGGACCGTCCCCCAGGAAGCGGGCAGCGATCAGGCCACCCTGAAGTGGGGCAGCTCCTCCAGCCCTTTGAAGACTTTGCTCTTTTCCTCTGCTCACTGTGCGTCTTGCTGTCTGATCCGTCTTCATCCCCTCTCCTCTGCCTCCTCGTCTATCTGTGTTTCACTCATCCTATTCTCCGTGCTCTCTTTTATCCCGGGATCACTCCTTTAGCCCTTTTGATTAGCATACCCAAACCCCCCATGCATTTCCCCCATGGTTTAAGTGCTATTAATGCTAATTGGAGGCAGGGAACTTCTTTAAGTAGCTCTCAGCAGGTCTGTTTGTACACCTGGTGGGGGGTGCATTGAGGGGGCTCCCTGTGTGTGTCTGTGTGTGTATTGTGTGTGCGTGTGTGTGTCCGTTTTTCAACGTTTTAAAGGTCGATGTACGGCAGGACGTCGGCCTACATGCAGTGACAACTGTACTAACTGAGCAGACCCTCCTGTACCTTCTCCCTCACATCAGTGGGTCCTTTTCATTTAGCGTCCCTTGCCTGAAGTTGAACAGCCAGCAGAAAGTAAAGCAAACACCCCTAAACAATTCTAGAGATAAACCGTATCCCCATGGTCCCTTTTTCGAGTCGCCGGCGGTCGTTACAGTGGACGCCGACTGGCCGATGGGGCCTCCGTTGGAGCGGTTGCATGTGTCATGTAGTGGAGAAGAGTGACATGCAGACAATCAAACAAAGGTCCCCGAGTCGCATGCAAACTGGGGACGTTGCGGTTCACGGCTTTTAATTTAACCCCTTTGCCGCTGAGGCGACCCTAAACCCTTTGTCACATCCGTTAAGAGGAAACCTTAAAGTCCACGTCGTTGGGTTTGTGACAAAGAGGTCGCTGACTTGCTGCTTAATATTAAGTACCAAATATTTTACGTGCACAAGATGTCAAATCTTTTAACGTTTAAGTATCAAATTACCACCACTGAAGTTTATTTTTGTAGTCGATTTGCTGTACCGATTCAGTATTATGAGCATTAGTCCAGGAGACGACTTACGTAGGTCACATGGGGGGTTTTCTCTGTCGGTACAAACCAGCAGCTGTAGTGACTTGAGTGCACACTCATCCACACAAAGCAAATGCATTCTGCACAAAGCACAAAGTCCAATTAAGCCAGCGGAGCTTGGCGCTGGTGATGAATCGAAGGCCTCGGCGTGTGTGTGTTTATTTAATCATTAGGACATCGGCATCCTCGGAGAAGAGCCACTCTCGCCGGCGTTATGCTACGGTTAGCGCGCGTGGCACTGAAGGAGCAAATTGGATCGGCATTACAGTACGTAAGCCGGGTCTCACATCCTGATGAGCGCCCGCAAACAAATTGGATTGGTGGCGTGTAAATCTCCGGCACTTTGATGAGCCCGACGGCGCAAATTGAATCCTCCGAAAGTGTAAATCTGTGAATCCCAGCGAGCTCAAATCATGCGACGGTTCCCTGCTGTTCCCCGAGATACAATCTCACGCGGCTGCTCGCCGCCGCGCCAAATCCCTTTTTGATGACTGCGTAGGGATGGAGCGGCGCATATGGGCATCTGAATCTCCCTCCGGCCCGATCCGGGTACATCGCTCCCCCGCCCACACACACTCCTCCTTTGTTGCTCACAACCTGTACAGTTGGCAGAGAGATTGCTTTGATTGAGCCATGCGTGTGTGTTGACACGCGATGACTCAGATGATCGGTCATTCTTACGGAGCTGCTGTTCTCTCTGGGAAACGTTGAGATGAGGCATATTTATCGCTCCTTCACACAAGTCATATTTATTTCCTTCCCCGGCACTTAACCAGAAAAAAAAAGTTGCTCACTGTGTTTCTGACTGAGAGACTGTTTGCTGACGGTGTGTTGCTTCTTTGGCCTTTTCAGTTATCCGTACAGTGAAGACAGCAGTCAGGGGAAGCAGTACATGAACACCAGATGCCCCGCCTGGTGCGACCGAATCCTCTTATCTCCTTCCGCCAGAGACCTGGTCCTAAAGGTGAGCCCGCACCTGACACACACTCTTTTTTTTTTTTTTAACCAACTTGTGGGTTTTTGTGGTTCCTTTTCAAAGTCTGATTCCTCTGGTTCTTTCTATTTCTTCATCTCCGTCGCCCTCGATGCGCATCACCCCTCCCCGCGCCCTTCAGTCGCTTCCCAGATGGGAGGATGAGGTGCCTGTGAATATTAATTGGGAGCGCTAAGCCACGGGTCCACCCTGACAGTACATATATCCCGTCACTTACACAGTTCCAGGGGGGCCCATTGTCTTCTTCATAAAGCCACAGATCCGTCTCCTTCCTCCGAGAGTCGCGCTCCGCTGCAAATGTGAACTCCAGCCAATCTGTCACCTCGCTTCTGTTTGCTGGATTACTCAGAGATCCGCCACGCGGCCCCGCTACGTTTCCCCGCATCTTTTGCCACCTGTTTTTGCATAAGACGTGCTACCGTCTTTTCTCTGAATACCGGGAATAAGTCGTTAAGAGCAGGATGGAGGTTTGCTGACCGCTCATCGCTCTATCACAGTTGTGAAAAACAAAGACGAATCAGCCTTATTCTGCCCACTTAATGTGTCAGAAATATGTAAAAAGGTGATTCACACACACACACACACACACACACACAGCTGGGCCCTTGTTGGTTTTTCCTCCCCCTCAAGCGCCGGCTAATTGCTTGTAATGCAGCGACAGAGTGGAACAGTTAGTGTGTTTCGCAGATTGGCCGATGATTCACTGAGCAGGCGCACACACACACGCACACACACACTCTCGCCGGCTCCGAGCGCTGCAGATTGTGGAGACACAGGGCCCCCCGTAAACAGCCCGACGTTGTGGGCGTCATCTATCATGGCACGGTCGGTTAACTCGCCATCGTGTTATTTTCTGCTTGCCGAGCCCTAACACGCCAAAGGTTGCCCGCTGGCTGCGCGGCGCGGCACCAGCTCCGGGAGCGCCGGTAATGAATGTTTAGCCGAGCGAGCGCTCCCTCTCCGCCGGAGGGGCCCCCCGGGTAATTTGTTTATCTGTCTAAAGATTACACAGCCCTGAAAAGAATCCACCGTGTTATGCCGCCTTTGTAAATTATCCAGTGTGCGTTTGATGAATGTATCCGCGGCTGCTGGGGGGCGGCGGCTGGGGAGGAGGTGGGGGCGGCGAAGGTAGAGTGAGGTGGAGGCACACGGTGTGCTGACCCGGCTCCACCAGCGGATTGGTCTGAAGTTAATTTGGGTTTTCCTTTATGGTTCATTCTCAAGCTCTCTGTCTCTTTCTTCTGCAGCTCACCGAGTCACAACCCGAAGCACCAGTGTGTGTGTGTGTGTGTGTGCATGTGTGTGTATGTGTGCGTGCTGTTTAAAAAGTCTTTAGTTCTACCAGACGAGTGTGATTTATTCTCCAGTCTGCAGAGCGGAGTGGGGCAACGGCGTCTTTCTGTGCGCAGGGATTGATGCTGAAACGCGATTCCCTCAGATAGGCACTTAGATCACAGCGAGGGGACTATTTGGTCCAGAGGCAAATGTCCACTTTGTAGATTACTCCTGCTTTTCATCCCCCCCACGCCTCCCACCACGCCGTGCACAAACTGCTCCTAAAGGTGCATTCAGCCCGATGCTTACTTATGTTCTTCATAAATCAGCCGCGGCTGCTCTGTGAGAATCTCGCTGTTTGTGTCCGGAGTTATTCATGAATGAGAAACCCATCGATAAAGTTCCCTCAAACAATCGTACACACTAATTGAGACAAATTCACTTCCTGTTGATCACTCGACTGTTAATTAGCTTCATTGTACTATTCGCTTTCCCTTACAATTCTCTGAACAAAGTCTCTGAGAACATTATAAAGCCCTAATTACATAGCGGTTGCAACTGGTGCTCATTCTAATTCTTCAGAACGAATACGAAGCAGCCGGAACTTGTGTGTGAATGGAAAACGAAGCGCTCGCGGCTTCGGCACTGGTGATCAAATTAGGATTTTATTGGCTCTTCAAAAATATATCATTTTTCTAATTCAAATTAGAAAATTCTCCCAAGAAGTAAAGAAAAGCCCACGAGCCGTTGTTGATGATGTGGACACTGTTTGGTTCTAGGGGGCTTTTATTTTGAAATCCGCAATATGATCCTTACTAATTGTGCTTAATGAAGCCGGTGCATCGATTTCTCGCCCATGATCGTGTCATAAAACATGAAGGGCGTAATGTAATGACCATACTGTGTAAACACGCCGTGCTGCTGATTCTGCATCCTGTGTGTGTGTGTGTGTGTGTGTGTGTGTGTGTGTGTGTGTGTGTGTGTGTGTGTGTGTGTGTGTGTGTGTGTCCTGCAGCGCGGTGCGAAGCCCCCTCTGCGTGCAACAAATGCATCCATGCCGCTCGTTTTCATCCCCAAACGTTTTGTTTTGTGTGTCCGCAGCCTGAGAACGAGGAGAAGTCCATAGTGTACGATAACATCGGGCCCAACGTCTGCATGGGGGACCACAAGGTAACCGCCTCCTGCCACTGTGTGCGTCCTGTAGGTGAAGGACGGAGCTGCATTTAACTGTTGGGTTCAATTTGGCTAATTTCTCAATCTATCTCTTTATCGGCGCCATTATTTCGATTAGTTTGAGTTGACTTTCCAGCAATGCTACTAAAAAAAGGTTTTCCACTTAAGTAAAAGTAGAAATGTCATGTTCTATAAATACTCAATTATAACAAAGGAGCAATTCCTAAATGTTTAAGTACAGAAGTATTATCAGCAGAATGTACCCAAAGTATCAGAAGTAGAAATCCTCATTATGCAGCATGTCTGCTTTCAAGGTTATAGAGTATTTTATTATAGTGTAAAGCAAGTTATTACGGTTACATTTAGATACTTTGTAAACTACTGGATATACATGTTTAGGAGAGTACAGCATCTTTATGGAACTGTAACATTTTTGTCATTTTTATTACGTCTAACTACGAATGTCAAATACATGCAGTTGACTGAAGAGAACAATATAAAAAAGATATATAATCACAGAAAGAAAAGAAATATTAAGTGGCATAAAATTCAAATGAAGAGGAAATGAGTGCGTTAATTCACTTCCTGGTCCAAAGTCGGTGGATTTATGGTCTGTAGCTTTCAGGAACTCAATGTCTTTTAACAATATATAGAATACTTTGGTCCTCTGGTGAAGCTTTTACGAGTCATGTAAAAAATAGCTTGATTGCTAACAAGTGGCTGAATGAGTTGACAGAACGGCGTCACTAGAACAACGAATCCTCCGTCCGCCATGAAAGAGAAGCAGTGGAGTTAATGTGTGATTGAAGATTATATCGATTATATTATATCAGAAGCCTCAATTTATTCACCTCGATAATCCCGAGCACCTGCTGCAAGCGGACTTCCTGGTTGGCCCCCAAGCCAGCGACCCCCCGTGCAGCGGCCCACACTGTTCCCCCCCAGAGGCAGAACATCTGCACCGTCACCCCCGTGATCTAGAACTCCAGAAATGAAACCATTTAAAGAGGAACGTTCAAACAGCACGACCTATAGGAAGCGCTTTAACACCGCCGCTCCAGTCGCCGCCTTGTCAGAGAGGCGCCTGGACTCAGGCCTTTCATCGGTAGCGTGTGTGTGCGAGGTGACCTGAGCGCACCGGCGGACACTCGGGGGGGGGCCCTCACCCCCCCCCCGGACGCACACCGCCGCCGCATCACAGCCGGCTATGTTTGGAAAAAGTGTCCAAGGTCGTTAGCACGCGGGCCCAAAAATGCAGCGCGCTGGTATGTGAGTTTAACCTGCGTGACATCGCCGCTCCGAGGGAGGGAGGGGGGAGCTCCGGTTTGTCCCGGAGAGCATCGGCAACGCCGTGTTGTGGTTCCTGTTCTGTTTTCTGACGTTTTTTTATGTCTCTGTGTGTCTCCCCCTAACAGCCCGTCTTCCTGTCCTTCCGAATAACAGCGGGGGCAGGTAAACCTAATGCAAATAAGCACAAGTGTTGTGTGGTGCAGTGATGTCGTGGTAAATATTACATTTTTCTTTCCTTTATTAAAATCCCCCCCCACCCGTTGCCGTTGTTTGCGTTGAGTTGCTTGATTTTGACTTTGCACAAACAGTCCAAACAGGGCAAAACGTATGACATCATGAGTGGAAAAATGATTAAAATGCTTTGGTCATTTTAAGACATTTACTAACAAACTTGCTGCTTCTTGTGCTTTAATGACAAAATGAACCAAAAGTTTATTACTTATCACTGAAAAGACTACTTAGTGTGTAGCAATACGAATGTTTTCATGTTTTCAACAGGAAAGTGTTGCCAAAGGAGGGAGAAGATATTCCGTGAAGCGCCTCTGTGAGAGACAGGACACACACGCACACACACACAAACAAGCACACACACGTACAGGCACACAAACACACACTTTGCACAAGCTTACACTGAAGAACCGACAGCGAGTTTTTCGGCCGTGCTGACCAGTCGCAGTTGTCCTGACACCTCATGCGTAAGAAAACCGCAGCCGTCTCCTCTCTCCATAAAACACTTGTTGAGATGTGGACGAGCACCCGAGGGCCCCGGCTCCAGACAAGACACACATCGCTGACCTCACTGTTGCCATGCAACCCCATTCCCCAGAGAAGAACAAGAAGAATGAAAGGAGGGAAGAAAGCGGCGGACGGACGACCCTTTTCCAAGCCTCAGCCTCATTGCCAAAACTCTAATTGAAATCAGTCCTACTACATACTTTTAGGCGCCGTGCTCGCCGTTTTTAGGTGTGCCTCTGTGCATAGAAGCTACTTCACACAGTGTGTAAGGTGTTTTAAGAAAATAAAAGTGCAATGCAACAAAAAAAGGAAGAAATAAAGTTGTATATCTATAATGTTAGGTTTATTTGTACATCCGAGAGTATAACATATAGAGTTGTTGATGGTTTTAGTAGCCTTTTTCTGACCCAACTTCCTGGTCCCCTTTGTCGGAACGGACGACGGTTCATCTGTTCATTGCGACAATTTTCATATATATATATATATATATATATAAATCCATACTTTAGTTTCGCCGTCGAGTGCACAACACAGCGCCATGCCTGACACGTCGGTTGAGTCTCGTTTTATATACTGTACTTTTTAAAAGAGATAATTTATGATTCTTACCAAAATGTTTATGCTGAAGTAATGCGCGGACGCAGCAACTGTTTGGGAGTTCCTGCAGCCGCGGTGACCTTTGAATCAGTCAGCAGGGAGAGGAGAGGAGCTGCTCCGTGATTTATTGCCTATCCAAGAATGTTTTAAGCAGTGCCATACACCATGCAAGTATATAAGATAATGTATATGTATATATATATATATATATATATATATATAGCAGTCTCACATCATGACATTATTATTCTTAATCTTAACTTATTTCTATAATATGGATCCAAATGTGATATTTTTAGATTGTCCTTAAGATGTTAACTGTTTTGTTTTGTTGTTGTTACTGCATTATGGTGCCAAGTATACTACACAGAGATGAAGTGTGTAAGAGTTATATGATAAGTCTGATGGTTAAGGCGTCGCTGTAAACAAAAATAATAATAATAGAGAGAAACTCTAAATGTGGGAAATGAGCAGGAAGACTTTTTGTGTTGTTTGTTTTGTGTAGCCCAGCAGCATCCATCGCAAAATAAGCATTAAAAAGGCGAGCGGAGACGGCCGCGTTTCTTCTTTTTGAATTGATTTTATTTACACTACACATTTCCGACTGTGTCAAGCCGTCAGATTGATCCTCCGCCATTTTATTTGTTTGCATCTTAAATCACCGCAAGTGAAAATTATTTTGTGCCTGCCAGAATTAATGTCGCCTTGTGTGATTTTTGTTTTTAAGCAAAGTTTTATTTTACTTTCTCGTGTGTACAATGCCTGCTTGTTTTCGTTGCTGGTCGCTGTGGGTTTAATGTATAGGAATATAAGCCTGCAAAAACCAAGTGTTTTTGTTTGTTTTGTTTTTTTTGTTTTTTTTCTTCACTCCATTTTATGAAAAAAGCAGATAGAGATTTTATTCCGGCCCCCCTTCCGGGCGGCTGGTCTTCTGCTGTAGGTGATGCAGTTCTCAAGCAATAAAAAAACCTTTAGAGATCAACGGCTGTTTGTACTTTTTACTTTCCCTTTATTTTTACTACAAAATAAGAGGTGCTGCGCGAGGACGGGGCCTCCGTCGGGGTTCCGCCCCGCGCGCTGACGTTTCTCATCGGGGAGCCGCGCCGTGACACCGGCTTTAGTTGGCTTTAAACGGGCCGCTAATGGAAGAAAAAATGATATTCCTGGACAATTACAACTCGTCATATCGACCTTAATCGGGATATTGATGTTCTACAGCAGCTCATCATCCCGTAGCCTATAAATGTTTTTGCTGTAGGTTAAAAAAAACACTTTGCCTTGACTAATGTGCGTTGTTTAAGGCAAACAACGGGCCCCTTTTACCTGAAGTTCATTAAAAGAGAGGTCTATTACATTATAATAAAATAAATATATTCAAAGGTCGTTATGTAATTCATCAGTACAATGTGACACAAGTCTCCTTTACTAAAACTTCCACAAAACTATTCACAATTTGAACCCTTTACAACTCCTATTATAAATGTATATATATATATATATATATAATATATATATATATATATTATATATATAGAATTAGCTCAGCCTCTCTGGAACAAACCGGAGCTCAGATTATTTTAAAATATCTAAATACAATTAATTGTATATATTTATATGTAATTAATATGGGTATTTAATCATACAAAGGCAAATAACCAATAAAGGCATTAAGTGTGGGCTGTTGGAATATAAGCCAAATGGATTAAGAACGGGACGTTTAATATACTAAGAAACCTTTATGGAGGTTTTTATTTTTATTTTTCTTCATTAGCAGCCTCATTACGTGGCAGCAAGTCGTAAACGTCCTGTCAATGATTCCTCCATGGGATTTGAATGTATGAGTGCTGCTTCCTGATTGGCTGAGCCCACAAGAGACCTGCAGGAGCCTCCTATTGATGAGGAGAGAAAGAAGAGCGATGTAGTACAAGCTGGGGGGGGGGGGGACGTCTGTCCAAGGTCTCCGCACTACTGGAGAACCGTTTCCATAAAACGAAATATTCACACTTTATTTTGCTGTTTATGATAATGAACTCAGCTCTAAGGGTCATTGTGGAGGCATTAAATGAGAGAAGACTAAAATTAAAACACCCTTAATTTAAAAAGAACAGACCGATTTCATTTTTTCCGTTTTGATTTGTAAAAAATCATCAGCTGTTGCCTGGTGATAGTGATACATTTAGGTAATAATAATTCTCTCGAATCTTCCCTTTATGTAACTCGATGCCTTATTGGACAAATCAAACATGTTCAACCTGAGACAATAATTATGTTTAAATGAACTTTAGTTATCAGTAAACAAGGACTTACTCAACATGTGTTGTGAAATTATTAGTATCAACAGTTCCTTGAATTGAGCTCCAGACTTTTCTAAAACACAAACAATTCTCAAGTTAAATCGGCAGCATATTTTTCTGCCAAAAATAAAATGCAGTTCTTGATAGTCAAAGAATGTATCTTTAATTTATATTAGCAACATACATTAAAACAAAACCCATGATACAACAAAAATGCTTGTTAAATAATTTATTCATAATACAAAGTGTTTTTTTTTCTTCTTCCTCCAATAACCTTTCCGGAAGCATAATACTCTGTTTAATTCCAACTGGTCCAGTTGTCTTGTCCCGCAGTGTGACGAAGTAAACCATGAAACAGAAGAGAGTGCGCGTGAGGACGAGCGGTCCTCGTGCAGGGAGTATTTACAGGCTTCACGTGTGAATCAAAGAGGCGACGTTACTGCAGGAGGGAACCGAACAACACGAAGCAGCAGGTTTATCTGAGAGGCGTCCGGGCTGTTCACATAACTTATTCAGTACAAAATATATACAATCTTATCTTTAGGCTGCAGCAACCCCCCCCCCCCCCCCCCCCCACAAAAAACCTTTCTCCCTCCTCCCCCCCCCCATTGTTTTTCCTCCCCCCCTTTTGGGCGAGGGGGCCCCCTTACCAGGCTTCCCCCCCCCCCCTTTCCCCAGGAATAAGGGGTGCCGGCACCTCGGGTTCCCATAAAATTCGTTGTTTTAAAAAAGTCCCCCCCCCCCCCCCCCCCCCCCCCCCCCCCCAATCACGTGACATACAACGGGGTCGTCTTCGTTTAACTGATGAGTGGAGGTGGAAAATAAAAATGCATTTGACAATTATTGTGAGTAAACGGATTAACAGAGCAAACCACGTGACCTCATTGGGAAAGGGAGCTAATGTAACAAGTGCGGTGAACTAAAACTGCGGGAGTGACGCAAAGCGGCGTTACGTGCGGTATAAAAGTCACATGAACGACCCAACACTGATCCGGATAGTGAGTGCGCGCGCGCGTGTGTGTGTGTGTGTGTGTGTGTGTGTGTGTGTGTGTGTGTGTGTGTGTGTGTGTGTGTGTGTGTGTGTGTGTGTGTGTGTGTGTGTGTGTGTGTGTGTGTGTGTGAGTGTGTAGTCTTCATTTACACGTGTTGTTAGAACTCCCGTTCCGACATGTTCGTGTCAATTTTTTTTTTACCGGCCACAAAGTGTCCACCGCGAGTCTTCCTGAAGTCCACGCTGCAAAGGACTCGTGTCTCCGTGTCTTTGAGTGTCTTTTCGGATGCAGCCGAAACGCGTCTCTGGTCACGTGTCCGCGTCTTTCCGCGCGTCCTCTGCGCACATTCGGGGTGTTTTGTATTTTTTTTGTGTTGCTCACGCATTTGCTGTGCCCGAGCTTAATGCGTAAGTCTCCGTCGGGCCTATTTGTCCTTCCTCACCCCCCCCCGCCCCTCGGGCCCCCCAGGCCGGCGGTCCGACCATCACAAGGTGTCCGAGCTGTTGCTGCACGGGCTGATCAGCGCCAGGTTGGTGGCCTTGTGCTTTTTCAACAGTCTCGTGATCTTCTCGTCGTCCGAGTTGGGGTCCAGGGGCTTGTTGTACTCGTCGTCGTCCTCGTTGTCCGAGCTCTCCTTCATCTTCTCCGTCTCCGAGTCGTGCTTCTTCTTGGCCGTGGCCATTTCCGCCGCGTGTCTCTTCCGCCATTTGGTCCTCCGGTTCTGGAACCACACCTGCGGGGGAGGCGCGAGGAGAGAGATGCTCAACAGGTCCACGCGTCATCAAGAAGCACCGCACGAAACGGATCCGTTAAAGGGGCGTATTAATTAGTAATAAACGAGTGAGTAATTAGCTACAGGATCAACACAAATAGGAATCATTTGAATTACAGAGGATTTATTATATAATTCATCACAGATAGTTGTTCCGCTTTGTCTGTGACGCATCAAGGGGAATTTCATATTGCAGAGAAGTGAAAGTTGACCGACTGTCGGTGTGTTGTTTTGGGGGTTTACCTTGACTTGGCTCTCGGTCATTCCTAAAGAGTAAGCCAGCCGGGCTCTCTCGGGGCCCGCCAGGTATTTAGTCTGCTCGAAGGTTTTCTCCAGTGCAAAAATCTGCTGTCCCGAGAAGGTTGGTCTGGAGTGTTTCTTCTTTCCGTCCTTGTCCAACATCATATTAGCTTGACCTGGAGGGAGAAAATACATACGGGTATTAATGCGTGACGGGACCTCAGACAATGTTATTAGTATTCGTTTTAATTTGGACGCCCTCATAAATTAACTGAACAATGATGCTGACATATTCCTAAAATATGTGTCTAAGAAACATGTTGAGTTTACTGACAAGACTGTCTACAGTGGTGTTATATATTGTAGCTTTAATAATTATATATGTATATATATATATATTAGCATTTAATGCATTTAATACATATAGATGAAAGTCCAAATATCACATTATATTTAAATGTTTAAATGTTCTACTGAGAACTTCCAGTGCATGTGATGCTCAAAAGTAGCCCGCCTTTATTATATTAAAGTATTTACCTTCTATATTATTCATTACAATAGTCAATGTGATGGCCGTGCATTGTTTTTGTCTATGTGAGTTTAATTTTTTCTATTTATAAAATTTACATCTAAACCCCCAAGCCCCATCCAACAAGCCCACAGGGGGCCGTGATCAGTTTCTTCTCAATTTAAATCACTCAACAACAACAACAACAAAAACACCTCCAAAAGGCGCACCAGCAGACGGGCCGAGCGGCGGGTCGGGCGAGGACTTACTGGGACAAGGAAGCCGCGGGTCCCTCCACGGAGAGCCCTGCATCACCCCGGGCCAGAAGATGGGCGCCCTGCCCGGCAGCTCGGCCAGAGGCTTCGGGTACCGAGACATCGCCGGGCTGAAGTACATCCCCGCCGCCGCGGCCGCCGCCGCCGTGGTGGTCAGGCCGTTTATCCGCGGGAAGCCGGAGAGCAGCTGCCCGGCCGTGGTGATGGGTCTCCCCAGGATGTCGCTTATTCCGTGCGGGGTCCCCATGGCCATGTGGGAGTTGAGGCAGGAGAGCTGGGGCGCCTTGAAGCCCCCCGGGCTCTGCTGCAGCGAGTACGGGAAGAGGGACGTCTTCATCTCGGTCATGTTGTGCAACGCCGCCAGCGGGGTGCTGCCCAGGACGAAAGCACTCTGCCGGTTAGCCTCCATCTGCCCGACCGCTAACATTTGTGAACATGAACCAGCAAACTCGCCTGGATAAAAGCCGGAGATGAAGAACAAAAAAAAAGAAAAGGGAAAGAACCTTTTAGGAGTAAACGAAGGCGCAGAGCGGACCGGTGATCTTCAGGCCACTTCTGCCGCCTCCTGCAAAAAGTATCCCGGATGCAGGAGAAGCGGACTTAAAATGTTGAAAAACTTGAGGCGAAAACGCGAACTTCTCTTCTCTCGTGGGAGGCGAAAAGCTCGGTTGAAACTCCCACGGAACGTCTCTGCGCGCGTTTGTTTGGGTCGGGGTCTGTCACAGCTGGTAGAAAGCCGCGCGGGTCCGCCACAGCAACGCCCGCGCAAGCCGGCCGGTCTGATGATGTTTTTAGTGGTTTTGATGGGAACCATTAAAGGGTCGACTTGTCTTTCCATAAATTGACTCGCTCTAGGCTATGAGCGCAGCGGGACCCCCTGATAATAGAACAGCCACCTGCACGCGCGCTATTCCCATTGGACGGGGCCGAGCGAGGCCGTGCCCTGATTGGAGGAGACAGGAACTCTGACGCTTCACACGTGTATCTTCGCTGGGCGGCTGCTGCCTTCACTTGCTGTCGGAAATAGGAGCTTCCGGCTCAACTGCGTATCAACGAGCCTACACACTTAATAAGGACCGACCGGATTTATTTATGATAGATGACGATCCGTGTGGCAGACACGTGACGTTTCGGAGCGGATGCGCAGGGGGAAGAGTAGTAGGCCGACACTGAAAGGCCCAGGCCTAATACATGTTTCCACTTTTACTTTTTGTATTTACACTCTACTACAAACGTATTATAAAAAAGCCACGCCCACACCTTTCTGACTTTCTAATGGAAAACAGAATAGCCGCACTCTAGATAGGAAAGTCCAAACTATTTTTGCACAAAGCCTCGTGAAAGACTTTTAGATTTGTGGAAGTCGGGGTGTCGGAGGAGGCCGTGAATGCACCAACAGCCACACTCCATTAAGATCTTTAGCTGCGCCGTTAATGATGCCTCTCACAGCCGCGGAAATCATTGTTTCCACATATGACAAAGAATATACATTTACATTATAAGCTGTTACCGCAGACAGTGTGAGTCTATTAAAGTAGACGCGGCTACTCGGTTGGGGTTGAGGGGGCACTCGTACTGTTTGCAGAGACTGAAGATTCAATTGCAAAGACCAGCCCACGCAATAAATACAACTTGAGTTTTTGTATTTGTCCCCTTGATGACATAATTGATATGATTATGCGGTATGGGCGTTTTAAACGGTCGTCGTGTGGTTGATTCCGTCTGCACGATTTTGGGATTGATCCAGGTGCTTTGGAGAATATTGTCGGAATAAACTGATTTATTCCAGCGCGCGCTGTAATCCGCCTTTCGAAAAGATTACACTTTCACTCAACCCCATCGGGAACATTAATTCTCATCGTTTCGCGTGTTTTATCGGGTGTTTGAAATAAAAGAGACAATCTCTGAGATGACTGCATCCCAACACAACATAAACTCTCTAAAGGACGCGGCGTTGCTTTTTATAACAGTGAGATAATCAGTGTTTTCCAGACAAACGGGGGGCGCGTGTGAGAAAAGGCGCGCGGGCGCCAGTCATCACTCTGAGTGCTGGAATATTTTATGGAGATGTGGGAAGGTTGTAAGAGTGAAATATGGCCACGTTAGCATTTGAAAGGCTTCGGTAAATGCACCTTGCTGCCCATTTGCTCAGCAGAGGAAAGATTGTAGATTTTAAAAGGTTTTTTTTTTTTTTGCAACACGAGGTGATTTAACAATTTTGCTTGAAGAAATCTTCAGATGAAGAGATGAGGCAGCTTCACACGTTTTCTAATCCAGCAAATGGGCCCTTGATTTCTAATTCACATTATATATATATATATATATATATATATATATTCTCTCCTGATCATTTACCTTGGATTTTAGCACCATGTTTTTCTAAAATGATCAGAAGAGCAGCTTTTTGAAAAAATAAATTAGGAAAAAAAAAAGTTTAGGCTATTTATCTTCCCATGGGATAATTTTAAAATAGCCAAACTGACAACCTTGGCTCAATCTCTGTGGGTTTTTTTTTTTGTGAAACGAGAGTGCGTTAAATAAAGCAGCTGTACCGGCTGACCCGGCGTGAGATCAATGGCAGAACGATTGGCACTTTTTCCTGTTCATGTACAGCCAAAGACGAGAGCTGCCAAACAGCCCGTCCCCGTAAAACCATAATCGCAATTTAACCTAATGAATGATTTGAATCTTTATCTCCTAAATTCACGAGTAATTTAGATTTTCATCTCTTAAACTCAAATCTATTAGAGAAGGTAGACGTGGCGCTCACCAAACGAATGGAGGGTAAAACATCTTGACAGATAATTACTGGAAACATTATTAAACTGGTAAAAAATAGCATTTATTTGTTTAGGATTTAATACTGAAGTATTGACCGACAGCTATATTATGTTTTTTTAAAGATGTTTGGAAAAAATAAGAAATAAATTCAAAATCAACCACAGTAATGTACTAACAATAGCAATAATAACAACAACAACAACATAAATAATAATAACATTAAAAATAATGAAAATAACACTCATTTTGATAATAACAATAATTAAAATAATAATAGTCTAACAACAAATGCAAATACAAATAAAAACGCTAGATTTTACAACATGAAATATAATACGTTAATTGTATTATGATGTCTTCAAGTATTAAAATGTGAACCTGTTGCTCACAGCGGAGTCAAAATGAATATAAACCTGATTTATGCGCCAAATTCTATTATGATTTAATAATGGCTCGTTGGCTATACTGATGGCGCGTATACCCACAGGCCTTTTTGTCCCACCATTGAGGGGAAATTGGTTAATAAACAGCGCAAAGATAATCTTATCTGAGCCTAACCTCGACACGAATGGGAATTGACAGAGCAGTGACAGGGAAGATAAGCAGATGTTTGGACAAAAAGACGCTTGTTGCAGTCAGTGGATCTTCTGCGAGTCACCGAGGCGTTCAGCTGCTTCACCGCCACTCACTGCCTCTCTGAGCAGTGCGCGCACACACACACACGCACACGCACACACAAAAGTCCAATCGTAATGATGCAAAATGCAACAATAGACAAAAAAAACACTTTAAAATATTACAATTTTCTAAAGCTATCATAGAATTTGTTGAGATTTATCAGCTATCATGTAAAACATTTTCTCTTCTGTATTTTCTGTTGTAAGTACAACGACAGTCTTTCAATTCAAACCCCCGTCGGGAAGTGAAATTGTAGATAAAGGACTGCGGCTCATGTGATTACATGTGATTTATTCAGGACATCTAAATGTGACCCCGCTTAATTTGGCCAGGAGCGCCCTCTGGCGGCACAGATTGAAACCACCGTGAGGATTTGAGATGTGTGGAACAACCTGCTCTGCTGGGAGGAAAAACGCTCACCAAACATGCTGAAACTAGAGTTAAGACTCTGCCTTGATTCGATTTTGAAGCTCCCAAAAAATAAAGCAAATACCTATGAAAAGTCCTCCTAAAAATAATCATTTAATTCTTCTCATTTACCGGTAAAATCATAATAATTACTTTGATTCATTCGATCAGGTTTAACATCTTAATTATCCTTACACTTCCTCACTACACTCCAGATATGAGCCAAAGAGCCAGTTTCTCAGACAATTGGTTGTTCAGTTGTATCTAATTGCATGGCGTCATTAATGAATTAATATGAGTTGGTCTTTTTAACACAAAGTGGATTGTGTTTCATCGCATCAAAGTGTTTTAAATGTTGCACTTCATCTTTTCCGCAAACGTATGTCGTATCAAAAAAACATTCAACGCAGCTTTTCATCACTTCATGACACGGGCCTGTCGTGAGTTTAAGCCTCGGCCGCCTGCTTCTAGACACTCAAAGAGGAACTCAGGGCAATGAGTAAATATATTCTTATACATTTATTCAAATGTCCAATTACCTGGAATAATCTACCGATCTTCCAATCGGTACAATTTGAAAACCGATGCAGTAAACGACTGGCAGCCAGTGAAAGTGTTCGTATCTCTTGATGCTTTACGTTCTGGCTTCAGGATTCTGCCCCCGTTGGAGTCTGTGTAGCAGCAGTTATCAATCAATGGGATGGCGTGAACTCTGTCAACTTACCATCATCTATTACCTTGAGAAAAAGAAACTTTCTCCTAGAAAATTGTCTGAATTATCAGTGAGTCATCTGAGACACACACGTATAAAAACACACATTAGAAACCTTCTGTTGAGAACCAGACTAATATTCGTCACTTTGTGCTGATTAAAAAGATGATGTTTTATATTGTGAACGATGTTCACGTTGACATTTTTACTTTAAATCCTCATTATTTATATTTCTTCACACTGACGCCAAATGCTAACGCTGTAAAATATATGACCTGGTTGTCTAGAGTTTTAAAAGTACTTTTAGCTTTCCTAATTCAAACAAAAAAAAGCTACAGGGGAAACCGCAAAACAAATACTAAAAAGGAAAAAAGTGTCTGAAGGGAAAATTGGGTGAAAAATCCCACAATTGATGCTATTTGTTGTGGACTCAAATAAGCTGATCCGATTCTAATAGAAATCAATGGACTTTATCTTTGAGAAGAGCATGAGTTGGTGGTAATGTGGAGGAGGAGCAAGTGTGTTGATTGTTATTATTTAAAAATAAAAAGCTTGAATCCAGCAGCCCGGTAGACTCTTATTACACTTATTATCTGTTTGTTCTCTAAAAGATTCTATTCACCAGACTGAGTCAGTCGATAAACTGAAACCTCTGAAAAATTAGAGAATTTGTACGTTGATTTTGTAAACGGTGGATGTTTCTGCAAAAGGTTAGTGAATATCTTCAGGTAGAGGTGGAGGTGCAGACAGTGCCTGAGAGCAAGTATTTGAAGGTGCAGGCAGAGGCTGCAGGAGGTTGGAGATCTACTTGTAGTGCTGCAAGAAACACATCGGAGACATCTGTTGGCAAAAACCCATCCGTGAATAAAAGGTGGATGAAGTTACAACACCGCCATCCTGTGGAGGCTTTCCAGATAATACTCATGCATCACCATCATCATGTCACTGGTTTCTGTAAATAGTGAAAAGCACCACATAGTGATTGCCTCGCTACGAGCATTAATGGGTCAAAAAGCATTTTGCAGCGTTGACGTCTTGACGCCTAAATGCCCCGACCTTGTATCATCACATCACAGATTTAACACCCATCACACACACACACGTCCAAGCATTGTACATGCAAACAATTGACTATTTAAAATATGATTTACTAAAGATGCAAAGTGCTCGCATCATTAGTAAATCATACATTTACTATGAAGTAAATTACTGTATAATAAGTTTTCTATACTGATTATATTCCAGTACAAGCAAATTACGTTATCTGAATCCAGGTCCTAATAT